GAAGGCCACGTAAGTACGAAGGACGACGTCGTTTTGAGAATTACATCCACGTTGATTCTTCTAATGGTAGTCTCAGGAGAACTGTCAGCGGAAGATTCAACCATTAAACTGGTTGAGTTCAACTTGTTCCTCCTCATTTCAAGCGAGTCTCGTCCCAACATTTCAACTTCATTTTTCATTTTTACCATGGCAGCAGGACCTGGTAACCGTTTTCGAACTAGAACGCGTAACCTCTGACATTCTGATTCTAACTTGGCAATTTTTTTAACAGACAAGGAGAGGGGGAAGGATATATTAACACACACAGACATGCATGAATGTTACCTGCCACTGCTTCTTGCGCAATTTTTGTTTGTTTCTTCACCAGCTCGTCTTTAGCATTACAGTCAGAAAGTGCTGAAGCAAAGCTTATTATTAATTATTTTCAAGTCTTTCTCCAATTCTTCTTTATCAGCTAGAAGCGCCAGTACCTAAATCAGAGAAGTTAAACCAAGACAAAATACCAGTTATTTTCATCAAGTAAGAAGTCAAAAACTAAATTCCAAATAGCTCTGGATGTCTGGTGAATAGGTACAACCAGAATTATTTTGTCCATTTTATAATCATAGCAATTCAGCACAAAGGAGTAAAAAAAAAAATTTAAATTGGCACCCCCACCAATAAGGAATGAGATATTGTTAACTGGTGAAGTACTAAATTAGTACTCTAAAATAGGTAAGACAACTGAAGAAGGAAAAAGGTTACAACCAGCCAACTTAATTATGATAGAAAACTGCAAAATGAGAAATTTATATAAAGTGATCAAAATAATATAATTGACGTTAAAAATAATTAAATTACCTCTTCATTTTCTTTTGAAGTGAGATTGGTGTTGTCAGTTGCTATAATTGTCTTTTCTGAGGATTTTTTTTCCTCCAAAGCCACGTTTTCTGATCCATAATGCTAAGGCTTCAATTGGGTGGAGCCTGCATAGAGTCAAGGCAAGTGGATGGGGAGTGTACCACTATAAGTCTAACTGGAAGGACAAGTTCATCATAGAACTGAACCAACATAACAATAATGATAACTTTTCTACTCTAATCATCTGGAATTCTTTACTTCACTGTTATTGTAAATAGCATTAAGATCTTCATTGAGAAACACAATATCAGTAATCATCCCTCAAGAAAATAAACGAAAAATTAACTGTATTGTCATATCATGGTTGCAGAGGATATAACTATAAATTATAATCATAAGGAAAATATTAGCCTCGGAAATATAAATTACCAACCTTTTTACATACTCACAAGGTGTTCAACCAAAAACTTGCTATCACAAAATACAAGTTCTTACATTCCAGAAGAAAAAAAAATTGCAATTATCTATTTACAAAAAAAATCTAATTAGATGGCACCTCACATCTCATAAAATCCAACACAACATGACAAAATACAAACCTGCATCTCAGCCGACAAATAATTCACATGCAACTAGAATCATGAGGAAAATGTTTTATTTCCCTTCTTTTCCATTAAAAGAATAATAATAAAAGTTATGCAAAGTCTTTTTGTGGGAAAAATAAAATAAAAAAAGGGGGGTTGCTATATATTGTTATAGCTAAAAAGGGTGTGTATGCGGTTTCTCACCTCTATGAATGAAGTTTGAGGTTGTGGTTGTGCATGGATTATCCAAAAAGTCAAAAGGAGGATAACTGAGCTGCAATGTTGTCCTGCAAAATTGAATATAGGAGAAACGAAATGGTTAGAACATAGAAGGGTGAATGAAGAAGCGTAGCAATAAGAATCAGTTGAGAAGTGAAGTGAAGGGAAGGTTAAAGGTTAAGACATCAATAGTTAACATGAAAATGCATATGATGTTTGATCTCTCACCCAAGCAGGAAAATGAGTGAGACTCGAAAATGAGAGTGTGAGGCGACCACAACAATCGCAACCAGCTCAGCTTTCTTTGTAGAGTGAGAGAGTGTGTTTGGTGAGCAAGAAAAATGAATAAAGAAAAAAAGGGAAAGAAGTAAAAATATGGAAAAGTGAAGTGTTTGAGTCAAGTGAAAATGACATTGTAACTGTAAGATGTAATTCCAACGTGGATGTAATTCTCACAAGCAGCATTTAGAGTCTGTTAAAAAAATTGCCAAGTTAGAATCAGAATGTCAGAGGCTGCGCGTTCTAGTTGGGAAACGGTTACCGGGTCTTGCTGCCCTGGAAAAAATGAAAAATGAAGTTGAAATGTTGGGACGGGACTCGCTTGAAATAAGGAGGAACAAGTTGAACTCAACTAGTTTAATGGTTGAATCTTCCGCTGACAGTTCTCCCGAGACTACCATTAGAAGAATCAACGTTGATGGATGTAATTCTCAAAACGACGTCGTCCTTCATACCCACGTGGCCTTAAGCATGTCACTTAACGTGACACATCATCACCGTCACTTTTGGATTGACAGAAGGACTAACGTGGGTCCTGTTTCACATTGTTGGGGACTATCCAACGAGTTTATTTTTGTGAGGGACTAATTTGGCCACCGCATTTTTTGTCAGGGACCAATTTGGGTCTTTACTCAATAATAAAATTAAAACAAAAAGCTCGTCCAAACATTCTCTAAGTGAATTATAATTCAATTTTATGTTTAAGCCCTACTATTTATTTTTTGTTACATATCTCTTAACGCATATTTTCCCTTATCCAAAGCGACTTCAAACCTATGATCCATCCATCTTACCGTTATCAACGATAAAATCCTTCTCATCTCTTATAGTTTAATTTTTGAGAAGTTATATATATATTTTTCTTATCATCAATCATATTATCATGTTTTCATTGAATATTCTAAGAAATTTTTGACTCTGAATTTATGAGGTTTATTACATGAAAATTTAGAAAATTTCTCAAATTATTTTCAATCAATACATTAAAACCTCAAATTGCTTTAGAACTTCTGAAAAATAAGTTTTAACGATCTATTGACACAAAAATTGTTTGAAATTATTTTTCGTAGGGAAGGAATTTCGTTCATGAATACATTGTTAAGAAACATAGGGTTCATATTATGAAAGTTTCAATCTTTCTTTAAATCGATCTTGTTTCTTTGATGTAAAACGAAAATTGATTTGGGATTTATTGTTTCTTTGTTGTTTTCTTACTATTTTATATTATTTTGCATATTTGTTGGATTGTTGTTTTGGATTGTATTGTGATGAAAATTACTCAAAAATCTGTTAGTTTTGAGCTTTGATGAAGCTCCCAGGGAGAAACTCAATTTCCAACAAGACCCGCCAAAAGAAGAAGAAGACACTACAATAGATAAATCTCAATAAATTCTATGGGTTAGGGTGAAATTGTGCGAGATAGACATGCTATTTATATTTCTTACTAAAAAGTCTCACAAAATCCATACTGATAGAATATCCATTGAAATCGTCAGTTTTTTGAATACCACAAGATTGTTTTTCCTTTGTTTAAAATCTTGATTGAATACCACTTTATTTGAATGGACTCTAAAATAATCTTTTAAAATATTAATCGAATATCATATGACTTTTTTTTAATCCTTAAAATCTTTTTTTTTTTTTGGTAAATGAAAGGGCCGAAGCCCAGAAAAAACAAGAGGAAATTATTGTACTGCTATGGCACGAGCCCTACCTACAGAAGAAACACCAGCTAAATGCAATAACAAAATACCGGAATGAGGTTCACGATAAACAACAGTATCAACTTCCTCCCCATTATCAAGGATGAAATTAGTCATCTAGTCAGCACACATGTTGTCCTCTCTATAAGTGTGACGAAGTTTAATTCTCCAATCTCTTTGAAACTATATCTGTATTGAAAAGATAAGGTGACTCTCACGGACTGCTGCACCAAGGTTGGTGAGCAGAGTGATTGCACTAGATGAATCACTTTCAAGTTCAATATTTCAAAATCCATCATTCCAAGCCAACTCCAAACCAAGAAGAATGCCCCAGAGTTCAGCTTGGTAAGAATAACATGTTCCTAACTTAATTGCAAATCCGCTAAGCCACATACCATTAGAGTCACGCAGCACGCTCCGCAAGCAGCAAGTCCATGGTTACCATGTGAGGCTCCTTCAATACCTTAGTCCTTCTTCATAGGATGTGGAAGTGCGCTTTCAAGATAAAAAAGTTTTAGTCAATTTTCAAGAGAATTTTTTTTTTTTTTTTTTTTGTGAGCTTCAAAGAGAAAAAAGTCTTTGAGCATTAAAGATTTTTTTTTTTTAATTATTCAAAGGAAAGAGCACATTAAGCATATTATGAATATTTTTTTAAGGTGCATTCAAACTAATTTAGGAATCAAGGTAAGAGTAGATTCGTCGAGCTCACCATTTAAATTTTATTTGTACTTATTTAATTATTATATAGAAAGAATAAGATAACCAAATTTAATTAAATTTTTTTCTTGACCTTAGGAAAGGTCGTTACTTAGAAATAAATCGATCTTTGTTCGTTGCGAATAAAGACAGGAGTTGGTTTTTATTTTATAACAATGGTTGTGCAGATTGGTTATCTAAATTCCCATTGGATCATCCAATGGAAAATAATTTACGTGTTTTCCCTACTCCTCTTGGTATTTGGTTACTGTGTCTAGCAGATTTTTCGTCATGTTTGTTCTTTTCACAAAGTTAATTTAATTTAGTTTTTGGGAGGTGTCTTCGGCCTTTGAGATTACAAAAAAAAAGAAAGAAAGACAGGAGTCTATTATTATACTTTGAATTGATCATAGTAAATTTGTCTTCTAATTATATAAAAGTATCCAAGTTGAAGTCACGAGTTTTTTTCTACCGTTAAAATTTTCCAACATTAAAATAATTGTGTTGCATTATTCTTTATTTTATCGCAATTATGTATTTTTAAATTATAAATTTTTTAATAAACTCAATTGACTCACGTTCTGAGTTCATCTAGACCAACAATATTAATCTCTTATTTATATATATTTGAATTTGATGAGAGGAGTAGTAGTATATTTAATTTCATAGGTCAGCGAGAGAGAGAGAAGCAACCCTATAATGCTCAGTCTTACGGTATCTGTCTTCTTCCCCTAACCTAACCTATCAAAATCAAATCAATTCCCTTCGTGATGAAAGACTTTTCTTCTTCTCTTCTATTCTACTCTCTTTCTCTCGTGAAGCTGAGAGGAATGTCTTGAATTCTCTTGACTCAGTGAACCTCAAACGACACCCCGGTGGTTCTGGTCGTCGTAGTCTTCTTCTCCTTCGTTTCACCGAGGCATGTTATTCGCTCACCGGTTCCGCTCTCGTTTGTTGTTGGATTTCGGGCCTTAGCATCATCCTCGTCGTCGTCATCATCGTATTGACATCCAATAAAGACGTTGACTTATTCTTCGAGGTGTACAGAAATGGAAGAAACAGTTGTGGATGACATAATCAGTCGCTTACTCGAAGTTCGTGGCCGTCCAGGGAAGCAGGTGCAGCTGTCGGAATCGGAGATCCGCCAGCTCTGTGCGGCTTCCAGAGATATTTTCTTGCAGCAACCTAATTTATTGGAGCTTGAAGCACCCATTAAGATTTGTGGTAATTTTTTTTCTCTTCATTTTAACTTTTTTGAACTGGGTATTGTCATGATTTCGCTTTTGAGCATCAGAAGATCTGCACTAGAATATGGGTCAAAACCTAAGTGGGTCAGAACCTAAGTGGGTTTTATGTTTGCGGTTTGGGATATGATCTGAGTGCTTTTTCTTGTATTATTACGGTGAAGTTATCTGATTTGATTGCTTGCTACATGATTTTGTGAGCTCATGCATGGGTTTTATAATGTTATCTGAGTGTACGATCTTCGGAGTGATTTAATTTGAAGTACTATACTGCGTTTGGTTACAAATTTTCTGCTTAAATTGCATGCTTCATTTTGTTTTTCTATTATGCTGTGTACTCTTACTGGTGAGTGTGTTATAGAAGTGGGTTTACCGTTTTTCCATTTCCCTGATGTTGTCCTGGTAATGTGTCAATTGAGGTGTGCAATTGGTCTAATTTCAGTGCTAAAAACCTACTAATAAGCATGTTGTGTTAGCTGATTTATAATGAAAAAGATAGGGACGAAAGTTCATGTACGGTATTGGCAAATGTGGCTGAGGCAAAGCAGGTTGCCACTTACGACGGGAAGGTGAAGTGCTTTGACCATCGCACTTCAGTCTGCCTCAACCAGATGTAGTTGTAGTAGCCCTCCTCGTCTCTGTTGAAAGTTGGAACCTTGCTGGCCTTTTTCATTCTTTTTTTTGGTCTAAATAAAAAAAGTCCAATGTTTTAATTTTTTTTCTTTTTATGCTATTCTATTCAGGCCTATTGGACCATGATTTGTTTGTGTCATCTGAAAGTTATTTTTCTGCTACAGTGGGATAATGGTTGGCTGTTGATGCTAGAGGCTTATTATACGAAAAAAGAATAAATTTGGTATTTATTATATCAAATAACTTACTACTTTAAAAACAGTTGTGCACTACTATATGATTTCATCTGTTTGGTTTTATCTAATAATCGGAAAAAAGTATGGTATCAACTATGCTTAAGAGTTAAGACTCAAACTTCTCACCTACGCGATTGTTTTACACTGAAATGTCATGCGGGGAAAGAACAGTGTTACTGCTTTGGAGGAAATAGTAATATTAATTGGAATATGTGAAATCTTTGAGATCTAGTTGTGAGGGCATTGATATTGTAGAAGTATTGTCAGGGGAGTCTAAAGTTGGATGCAACATTGCAAAGCTTTTTATTAGGTTTTGTAGTTATGTATAAGATGTCAAATAAATGCAAAGTCTGTTACACTATCTGGAGAATTAAAAAATTTCAGCTATGGTGTAGATGGAAGATGTGTATCTAACCAGGATAACATAATTTTGTCTTTGCTGATATGTAATTCCTTTATCTTGTAAGTTCTGGCTTTCTGCCTTACATGCCCAAATACTATGGCAAATTGGTATGGATCCTGTATGGACCTTCAGGTTCTGTTTCAGAATTTTGGGCTTAGCCTATTTTATTATTTTGTCTTGGAGTTGAAGTGTTCAACCTAACTTAAATTTGGAAACAGAGTTTCTGAAACAGGTTTTGCTTGCAGACTTTGGTATATAAGGAAAATTTACCATGATATGGAATGCTTAGACTTTCCTAGAACCTTCTCACTGTAGTGTCGTGTTGAGATTACAGTTTTTCTATGAGAAGCTGTTTCAAGTGTCCTTAAAATGGCATTCTTATTCGTTAAACTGTAAAGATTCAAAATATGCATTCTCTTGTTCTTATGAGAAACTTGACTTTTAAAAATGATGCATCATGAGCTTTGCTTTTATTTTATGAACCTACCAACTTTACTGTCTCAAGGTCAAGCATGTAGTATCTGCAGTTATAACATTGTCAGATATCTCTGACATAAATAATTGCATTTCTTCTACACGAGATCTGAGATTGTCAGCCCAATTCCTTTTTATGCATTGTCTTATGCTTAGCCAGTTAAGTCAGTGTTACTGTTAAATTCTAAGGTTGAAACACAATCTTAGAGATGTATTCTCCGATAGGGCTTCAGCTCAAGTGCTGTATTATTTGTGGAGGACAAAATGGAGCAAGAAATTTTGTTTGATGAAGACCATTTACTAACATATGTTACTAGCAATGACTAATAGCTGTAAATCTAACTTAAAAATCAAGTGTTTCTAGTGGTGAAACTTTCCTTCAAAATGGTAAAGGTATCCAGTTTCCACGGAAAACCAATTGTATAGTATTGGTTATTGAGGAGTTTATCTTCATGAACTCAAATAATATTTCTGCTAGTTATTTGAAATGACAAGCCTTTAAACAAGATATCTAGTATCCATGTAATACCAATTGAAGGGTTTATATTTGTGCACTCAAATAATAATTCTGCTAGCAGCAGTTATTTGAAATCACAAAATTTTAAACAATGGGAAATAGGACCTAACAATATAAAATGATGCTTGATTCTGATGCATCTTTGTCAAGTCTGGCACATCATTGACTTTGCACAGAAAGTTACAAAGATCTTCATTTATGTGGACACGATCCATCTATTGTACTCGTTGGTGTTATCAGTATCACTTAATTCTGTTATTGTTTACAAAAAATAAAAATGTCCTGTCTGTAATGATTTCTTCCTTTTGTTGGTCTCTCAGGTGATGTGCATGGTCAATATTCTGATCTTTTAAGGCTTTTTGAGTATGGTGGATTACCTCCTGAGGCCAACTACTTGTTTTTGGGGGATTATGTGGATCGAGGGAAGCAGAGTTTAGAAACAATATGCCTTCTCCTAGCTTATAAGATAAAATATCCTGAGAACTTTTTCCTTTTAAGGGGAAACCATGAATGTGCTTCTATAAACCGTATATATGGATTTTATGATGAGTGTAAAAGGAGGTTTAATGTAAGGTTATGGAAGACATTTACAGAGAGCTTCAATTGCCTGCCTGTGGCAGCTCTCATTGATGAAAAGATTTTGTGTATGCACGGGGGACTTTCTCCTGACTTACTTAATTTGGATCAGATTAGAAATTTACAGCGGCCCACTGATGTACCTGATACAGGTTTGCTTTGTGATATCCTTTGGTCAGACCCAATCAAAGATGTTCAAGGTTGGAGAATGAATGACAGGGGAGTTTCATATACATTTGGTGCTGATAAGGTCTCAGAGTTTCTTCAGAAACATGATTTGGATCTTATTTGTCGTGCTCATCAGGTTAAACTCTTACCTTTGGTGTTGAATGTGTTACCAGGTCTTCAGGGTTGAGTGTCTCCCCATTTCTATTACTAAAGGACTATACAGTAAATTTCCAGCAATCCTAATCTATCTCTCAGGACTATTACAGTTGCTTTTTTTTAGCAAACTTGGAATTACTGTTTGCCATGTAAATTCTGACACATTTATTTTTTGAGTCTAAAATTCTCCCTTTGAATGTCAGTCGTTAGCTTTTGATGCTTCATTCTGTACTTTCTGTATTTAAATTGAAAGATCGGAAATCTCAATCAGCTGCACTATTAAATTTAATTGGATTAATATGTTTTGACCAGGTGGTGGAGGATGGATATGAGTTCTTTGCTAACCGACAGCTTGTAACAATATTTTCTGCACCTAATTATTGTGGGGAGTTTGACAATGCCGGGGCTATGATGAGTGTTGATGAGACACTAATGTGCTCTTTCCAAATACTAAAGCCAGCTGATAAAAAAGCAAAGCTCAATTTCGGAAGTACAACCACTGCTAAGCCAGGAAACTCTCCAGCAGGGGTAAAGGTAGGCAGACAGTTTAATATTCGTTGATGCAATACATACACAAAATCAGGAGGTACATATTTTATGGTATGTGTGCGAGATATGAGATACAATGTTGTTAAAACGTAGAGTCTATGTAAAAACGGTAGGGGTGAGCAAAAACGTAAAATCGCAAAACGTAAACGAAACGTAAGAGTTTACTAAAGTATTAAAAATAAAATATATATCCAACATATATAAAACCAAAACCCACAAACATGTTTATTTTATAAGAATGTCAATTTTAATCTTTGTTTTAATTTATATAGAATAATTTTAATGTATTAATTAAGTGAATATTGTGTGTTTGCAAGAAACTAAGTGGGCTGGAGAAAAGGCCAAGGAAGTGGATGGAACTGGTTTCAAGTTATGGTACACAGGTACGAACAAGAGTCGAAATGGTGTTGGAATTATGATCGATAAAAGTTTCAGAGATAAAGTTGTGGACGTCAAAAGGAAAGGCGACAGGATTATTCTGGTTAAGCTTGTTGTGGGTGACTTAATCCTGAATATCCTCAGTGTGTATGCACCCCAAATTGGATTGCAACCAACTGATAAAAGCCAATTTTGGGAAGACTTGGAGGAGGTTTTGAGGGGAATACCTCGAGAGGAGAAGATTTTCGTAGGAGGAGATCTAAATGGTCATGTTGGTAAAAGCAATGGAGGTTTTGATTGAATCCATGGAGGTTTTGGCTATGGGACGAGAAACGAGACTGGAGAAGATATCTTGAATGTTGCACTAGCCTACGATTTGATGTTAGTGAACACCTTTTTTCAAAAAAGGGAGTCACACCTAATCACTTTTCATAGTGGCCATAATCGTAGTCAGATTGATTTCTTTCTGGCTAGAAGAGAAGATAGAACTTCTTGTGTCGAATGTAAGGTCTACCCTGGAGAGTGTGTCGCTACGCAACATAAGCTGGTAGTCTTGGATGTTCGGTTCAACAAAGTACGTACAATGAAGAAGAGGGCTCAGAATCCAAGGATAAGGTGGTGGAAGCTTAAGGAGGGAAAAGAGAGAGAGTTCAATGATAGAATGTTGCACGAAGGACCTTGGGAGTTTGATGGAGGAGTAAATGCAACATGGAATGAGATGGCTAAGTGTATTCAAAATTTGGGAAGGAGGGTGTTGGGAGAAAGCAAAGGAAATGGATTTCATACAAAGGAAACATGGTGGTGGAATGGAGAGGTGCAAGAGGCAATTAAACATAAGAAGGAGTGCTTTAGATCTTTGCATAAAAGTCCCAGTGCAGAGAACCTGCAAAAGTTTAGATTGGCGAGAAAAAATGCAAAGAAAGCAGTGCGAGAAGCTAGAGGCAAGGTTTTCGACGAGTTGTATAAAAATCTTGGGAGCAAGGATGGTGAAAGAGGTATTTATAAACTTGCAAAGATAAGGGATAAGAAAAGTAAAGACCTCACCCAAGTTAGATGCATCAAGGATGAAAATCAAAAACTTCTGGTGAGAGATGAAGATGTAAATGAAAGATGGTTGAAATACTTCAACAAGCTGTATAATGGGGATGGAGATACAAGCGAGATGGACTTAGAGGACGCGTGTGATGATATGAATAGAAGATTTGTACGCAGAATTAATACACATGAAGTTAAGGAGGCTTTAAAGAGGATGAAGACTAATAAAGCCTTAGGGCCTGATGGTGTCCCTATTGAAGTGTGGAGAGGCCTGGGGGATGTGGCAATAAAATGGTTGACCAATCTTTTTAATAAGATTCTCCAGATGAATAAGATGCCTGATGTATGGAGGAAAAGTATGATTGTGCCTATTTACAAAAACAAGGGAGATATACAGAATTGTTCAAACTATAGAGGCATTAAGCTAATGAGCCATACTATGAAGTTGTGGGAGAGGGTTATTGAACATCGCTTGAGGAGAGATACCAAGGTTTCTGTAAATCAATTTGGATTTATGCCAGGAAGATGTACCATGGAAGCAATTTTCTTGATGCGACAACTAATGGAAAGATACCGAGAAAAGAAAAAGGACTTGCGTATGGTGTTCATAGACCTTGAGAAAGCATACGATAGGGTTCCAAGGAAAGTTTTATGGTGGGTCCTGGAGAAGAAAAAGGTTCCATTAAAGTATGTAAAGGCAATCAAGGATATATATGATGGGGCTACTACATGTGTAAAAGCTTGTAACAGATCATCAAGTTATTTTCCTATCACGGTAGGTGTACACCAAGGGTCGGCTCTAAGTCCTTACCTCTTTGCCTTAGTTATGGATGGACTAACAAAAGATATTCAAGAGGAAGTGCCATGGTGTATGCTTTTTGCAGACGATATTGTGCTTATTGATGAGAGCAAGGAGGGTGTTAATAGAAAACTTGAATTGTGGAGAAGCACATTGGAATCCAGAGGATTCACATTAAGTCGAAGCAAGACTGAGTATCTGAAGTGTGAGTTTTCTCTGGTACGAGATGAGGGCCAAGAACCTGTGCATCTAAATGGTCAAGAGGTACCCAAAAAAGATGCTTTTAAATACTTGGGCTCCATTTTACAAAACGGTGGAGAGATTGATGAGGATGTAAATCACAGAATCAGAGCAGGGTGGATGAAATGGCGCAGTGCATCTGCATTTTTGTGTGACTGCAAAATCCCCCTGAAGTTAAAAGGAAGATTCTATAAAACGGCAGTAAGACCGGCAATGCTATATGGAGCAGAATGCTGGCCAGCACATAGGCAACATGAGCATTAGATGAGAGTAGCAGAGATGAGGATGTTAAGGTGGATGTGTGGTTACACAAGGATGGATAAGATAAGAAATGAAGATATTCGACGAAAGGTCGGAGTAGTACCGGTAGCCGAGAAGATGAGAGAACATAGATTGAGGTGGTTTGGGCACGTGATGAGAAGACCCATGGATGCTCCTGTAAGAACAGAAGTTTGTTACCAAGAGCTCAACACAAAAAGAGGCAGAGGTAGGCCGAAGCTTACTTGGGGGAAAGTAGTAAAACAAGATTTAATGGAGTGAGATATAGATTGGCGGACAATATGTCTTAGAACGTAATGGAGAAAAGCTATAAGTATGGTGGAGGGTTAAACCCGCTGTTATTCCTATGTTCCAGATGGTCCATTTTTAGTCATTTTCCCCTTCATTTCCCCCACTTCTTCTTGTCCCTTTCTTTTTTACTTTTATTTATTTATATATACATATATTGTTATTTTATTTTATATTTTTATTTTATTTGTTTATTTTTATTTATTTATTTTTGGCTTTTTTACTTTTTTATTTTTTTATTTTTTTATTTTTATTTTATTTTATTTTTTATTTTTTTATTTTTTTTATTTTTTTATTTTTTAACTTTTTTTCAACCGTTTTGTATCTTTCATGTGGGTTCATCTACCACCGACCCCAATTAATTTGGGATAAAGGTGTTGTTGATGTTGATGTTGAATTTTAATGTATTAATTATATAAGTTATTAAATTTAAGCTAATTAATGACTAAAAATATATATATTTTTTATTATTATTACGTGTTATATATATTTGAACTATGCAAAAAAAAATTCATATTACGTTTCGACACTACGTTTGAACCGTTTCGGCTCAAAATCCGTTTCAACTACCGTTTTGACTCGATTTTGGTCATAAAAACGTAGACACGGTCCGTTTTTACGTTTCGACACTATGTTTTAACAACACTGATGAGATATATGTAGATATTTGTGAATTTCAACCTTCACCCTGAATCGGCAATTTCATGCATACTGACTGCTTTTTTATGCTTAAGACTTGATTTGTGAATGTGTCATGGAGGTTTTAGATTACAATTTATGTAGATATTTGTGAATTTCAACCTTCACACTGAATCGAATTTCGTGTATACTGACTGCTTTTTTGTATCGGGCTTAGACTTGATTTTTTGTGAATGTGTCATGGAGGTTTTAGATTACAATTAAATAAGTGTATGGTCCTACTTCCAAAATAGTTTGTTTCCTGCTTTTGCCTTCAAAAATTAATTCTTGAAATAGGTGCTTGTCATGATTACACAGAATTTGGATATAAGGCAGCTAGCTTATTGGAGCAGACCTTCACCGTTTTCTAGTTTTTTTCGTGATAAATGTTTTCCTGGTGTACAATGTGGTAGTTTTGTGGGATTTCTGTAGGTTTAATCATTTCTAGCATAATTAGGATTATTGTAATGATCTGATTTTGTGTGGTAGTCATGCCAGAAAACATTTGGGGGATTTAATTTAGCAATGAAAAAAGCTACGTAGCGTGAAGCTATTCAACTGAAATACCCTGAAGCAACCAAAGCCGCCCGAAGAACCCATTGTTTTCAAATGCTCGTCTCATTCATTTTGCTCAATGTGAAGAGTTTGTGCTAAATAGCAGAACTCCTAGGCAATTTCCTAACCTATCAGTTAATCTAGGTTTTTATACCACATCACTTAGCATCACTAGCGTCCGTGTTATTTGTTGTTCACACTTGATGCATTTACCAATATATTTCTAAATTTCCCCCTTCACACTGCCTTGCAGTCCTTCCTGGGTACAAAAGTATGAAGTTAATTTTGGCGAAAAAGGTTGCAGCCACAACTGGTCAGCTTGGTCTTGAAGATGTAATTGTTGCAAGAAAAGGAAAATTGAGTTCCATTTGGTCTCACTGATATTTTGGAAGTGTAAAAACAATGGGAAACACCATTATTAACTATGTAAATCATTGTTTTTCACTGGTACGACTTTGCATTTCGAAATGGACAGCCATAATCTCTTGTTTTCTTTGTACACTAATAGATGGCAACTTGGTATATGTTCTGAATTGTAAGCATCACAAGCATTGATGGATACATCTGCATCTGTTGCTGAAAACTATTTAGGATTGGCAAATGGATGGCAGTTGAGGCTGGTAAAAAGGGATATGGTTCAGTCTCCTTGTTAATTTTTTGGTCGTCATTTTTGCTTTGTGGAAATTCTCTGTTAATACGGGACCTAACTTTTTGCTTAAATATCTCTCTGAAACTTGATTCGAGACATTATACCTACTATATGGGACAAAGGTACCCACCTTTTTGTTTTGTGATATAGCTTTGCTATGAAAACTCTTGGATTCATGTTCTCAATATGTGCCTCTTATAGAACTGAGGCAGTGTGGCTGTGAAAAGGAGAATATCATTCACGTAAAGGTGAATGGCATCCACTTATAATGCAGTTACTGCCAATCACCAATGTAACAATAAATTGTGAACCAATAGGTTTGTTACTGTTAGAAGATATTAAGGTTATTAATAATTGGATTAGGCTTATACCCGTAGTTCTAGTGCTTGACCTAATTAATAAGATAAATAGGTAATTTTTATAAATAAAAAAAGATGGATTATGTTATTGTATTTGAGTAACACCTCATTAACCACCACTCCCCACAACGCCGCTCGACCCATAGTCATCTCAAGCAACAAAACAGCCACTGGCACGGTAACTAGCACTAGGCTAGTAGGCTTTGAAGAAAACATGCTAATCGTTTTAAAGTCTCGCACCCAACAGTACAAAAATCACACCAAACAGCAAAAAAATTAAATAAAAAGTACGATTTCAGCCCATTACAGCACTGGATTTTCGGTCATTGAGCCTGAACTGAACATCAACAATCATCTTTAAATATTTAGTTTAATTAAATTATTGGCTCTAGTATCTCTGGTTATTAATCAACTCTGTTAAAAACTTAAATTATTAAATAAAAATGTTAGTAATTCTATATTGTATCGCTAGCAGTTAATATACGCAGTTGTGGTTGCTTTCTAACGTTTCGGCTTAGGTAAGCTGGTGCTGCCCACTGAGGTGGGTACATGCTTATTTTCTGCCAAGCATGAGTATTTGCCTTCTGTTCTGTGCGTGTCGCAAGCTTGTTAATTATTTTTATCTTATGTTTTTTTTATATACAAATAAGAATTCAACACGTAACTTAATACAAATTACTTACGTCTCTTACCACCAGATCAAATCTAGTGACTTATTTTTATCTTAAGTTTTGTAGTTGCTAGAAATTCATTTTTACTGTTCCGACAGTACAACTTTTTAGAAAGGACTATTCACTATTGCATCTTCCATGATGCACCTTAGTAATAAATCTTTGGTGCTACGGTTGCACCAAAGACTCAGTACATCCCAGTAATAGAAATATCACATGTCAGTTAAAGTTTTCTTTTCTCTGCCAAATTTTTTTTCTTTCCTATGATGTGTAATGCTTTCATTGGTGGGATACACTGAATCTTGGTGCAACAGTAACACCAAAGATTTATTCACATCTTAGACCTTACCTAGGTGTTGTTGGAACTTGAAATTGAGTGCTGACAATAATTTGAACCAATAACAAAATTGGCCGAATTATGTAAAAATTTTGTATCTATTTTTCTCTTTATATGTATTAAAAAGATGATCCAGTGAAAACAAGATGAGACCTGTAGCTCAGAGGATTAGAGCATGTGGCTACAAACCATGGTATCGGGGGTTCAATTAACATTAATAAAGAAAGAAATAGATACAAAAAATTTATATAATTTCCTCATGTCAAATTTTAACATGAAATAATCCATACTCAAATTGATTAATGACTAGGGGGAAATTTGCTTTCATCTGCGGAAATTTAAACGGATAATGATTTGATATTCAAGCAATAAGATCATCTTTTAACTATATTCCATCCAGATATGTTTAAGCATTTGAAAGTTGGGTATTCAAAACTTAAAAAATGGATTGCTTGCACATTGCTGAAGACTTGAAATTGTTAACTGGTTCATAAAAGAACAAAATAGCTTAGTTCGTTTACCTCCTTATACGATTATTTTAGCAGGAAAGTTATATTTACAACTCTTTTATATTCATACAATATCCTTATAATTATTTTGCTATTATTAAATCAAAATCAAATCAATATCTTTCAGTTGATACTATTTTATCATGGTTAATTGTAGTTTGATCTAGCAATAATAAAATGATTATAAAAGAATTATAAGGATAAAGAAGTTAAGACTATAACCTGCCTCTTATTTTATTATTAAAAAGTTAAACGTTAAGATCCTTTACCATTAAAATACAACTGCTAAAGGATACCAAGAAAAAAATAAAAAAAAATACAACTGCTAAAGGATCTTAACATTTAACTTTTTAATAATAAATACAACTGCAATACACCAAAAAAAAAAAAAAAAAATACAACTGCAAATGATAAGTAATCCTTTGAGAAGATTTGTTGCTTCTCTTGCTTTGTTTTATATTTACGGTAAGCCAGTTAAAAAAAAAAAAAAGTGAATGAAACCCGTCGTGAGTACTTTATTTTAAATTAGAAATCCATGGTTTGTGAAGCCCATGGTTTTAGTGATAGTTTTATGTATTCATTTATTTATTTTTAGAATCTTTTATGTTTGTCTTTGATGCCTACACAGAAATTAAAAATTGATGACAAACAAGCTGTGCCTTCTGTTCTGTTATGCTAGATTGATAGTGCTTTTCGGTGATTACACTCGTATTTTAGGTACGAAAGAGATTGGTGGTGTAGCTTCGATATGTTCGTTATAGGTTTCGTAGTCAGAAAATAAAAAAATCGAGACACGAATAGCGACATGAATTAAAATTAGTGATAATCCAAAGCATAAGCTGACGTGCCCTTCACTATCTTGTAGAGGCATGCAGAGTCATACTTGCTCCTCACGAGATGACTGGTAGTGAGTGTATTGGAACTTCAGCAGCAACTACCAGCCAAACCTAAAATGTTCATTTTCTGATTGTTTTCCATTATTTAACACAAACCCAACATCGCTCTTGATCAACCTATCCTCTTAGGTTGGATAACCCAATAGCTAAGTAATTTGTTCTGAAATATATCATATTAGAAACAATTATAAGTAATGTGTCACATGGGTGTAGGACCATCATTAATAGATGGGACATGTGGTGGGTTTAGCATTTGGTACTTTGCTGCAATTATTGCTATACAAACTGACCAATTTTTAATAGTGAAAATAACTGAAGTTGGAATCTTTCTCAGCAAAAAACAAAAAAGGAACAAAAAAAAGTTTGGAAGGCACCTCAATCTCATTATCACGCTACTTTGTTTGGAATCTTTTATCTTGTTAGTGACTTACACACAAAATCCATGAGACGAAAATAAATGCCATACCCATCTGAGAGTTGAGCGAGAAATTACAATGAAATATATTTAAAACAGCTTAATTGAGTTTTGATCCCAAAATAAAGTAACCGTCCTGCAATATTTAAGGTCCGATTGGATGATTTTTTTTCTTCAAAAGTTATTTTTTTTCTTGAAAAAAGCACTTCTCATTTTTAGTTCGTTTAGATGTCTACTTTTAAAAAAAGCAGAAGTCACAAAAAAAGCTAAAAATTTACTTTTTTCAGAAGCTAAAAATTTTAACTTCTACAAAAAGCAGAAGTTAAAAGTCAAATATTTTTTTCAAAAACTAAATATTTTTATAAAAATATAAATAACTTTAACTTTTGTAAAAAATACTTTTAAAATAAAGAAGAGATAAAAATTACTTTTTTAAAAAACTGAAACAAACAGGCTCTTAGTACGCACTTCGCATGATACAACTTCCTAAATTAGGATCGGATTGTTATAAAAAAAATAAAAAAAAATTAGGATCGGATAATATATATATTTTTTCAATATTGTTATATTATAATATTAACCGATCTATATTATTTCTATCTCCATATAGTGGTAACGAAATAGGTAAAAAAAAAAAAAAAAAAAAAATTAAATTATTATAAAATATGAAGTCTTTAACTAGTTCCTTGTAGTTGGTAGTTCGAGGAGACAGTGCGTGTTTTGTCTTTGGATAGTTATATTGTAGGGTCTTATGATACTAGTCTTCTATATTTTGGTTGGAACGAGGAATCACATAAAGCAAAGATAAGTTATCAAACAGTCACAATAGCTTCCACGGTGGGTTCCATTATCTGCGAAACAAGATTCGATAGCTAGCTAGCTGGGAACCATCTAAGAGAAGAAAAGCCCGGGCCATTAATGGGCATGGCACCGGTCACATGCCATGGCCCATGGGGACAGACAACCCACCGTACGGTTCGTTGAAAATTGACAAAAACATAAACACATGTCACGCATTCCAACACGCAGGTACAGAGTACAGACCAAGCGATAAGTAGTGTATCCTAAAGAGCACTTATCACATCGCTCTACTTAGCTCCAAGCATACATAATTTAAAGGGAGATTATTTTATTATTTTATTTTTCAAAAAAGTTAAACTCGGTATGTAAGCAGTATGCGGATTTTTTTTTTATTAATCTCGTGTCGGAGATATTTTATTTCATGTCATAAAAATAAATATATAGATCCTTTAATTTTATTTCTTTTATAAAAAATGGAACCTATGTATATGTTTATTTCTATAATAGAAGACAATATCTCTCTAATAATATAAGAAAATATTTTTCCAAAAAAAAAGAAAGATAAATTGAATACATATGCTGAGATGTTGGAAGTTTGTAAAATATATGAGTATCTTTTATGGGAAAAGACTTTTCTTATAATTGGAGAAGTCTCTTCTCCAACTATTCTCATTTTGAAGTCTATATTAGTTATTTTTTTTTATTGTTTATTGAGCCACATCCTTTTTTCTCTCGGCATGAAAGTTTCAACTTCTTATACAATACAATATGAGAAATTGCAAGCTCCTCTTTTATATCAGGAGAATGATCACTTGACTTTTGTTTTTGATGAACTGATCATTTGACTTTGGTTCAAAAGTAAAAAGTTTTATTCATCATCTTAATTATTGACTTTCATTATTTTTTATTATAATTTATTAAATTATATTTATTAATTAATTATTAATTCTTAATAAATTACGATTATTAAATACATGAAAATCAATAATTAAAATAGGGAGCAAGAACTTTTATTCTTTCATTGGAGTCAAAAGTCTCTTTCTTCATAGTGGTAAATCAAATTTAAATTGTACGTTGTATTTTACTTTATTTATTCTTTTTAAATATATT